TGGATGTGGTGCTGGGCCACTGGCTCTAGGTGTCCCTGCTTGAGCAGGGCAGCTGGACCAGATGACTTCCAGAGGTGCCTTCCAACCTCAACCACACTGTGAGTGGTACCAGTAAATGCCAATGCCAGCCTGTAGCAGAGCTAAGCATTTTTGAGTGGGCTGTGAGTGATAAACTCCACAACTGGCACAGCTGGTGCTAAAAGACACCATGTGATGCTGGCCAGCATAAAATACAAGTGTCTAGTGGCAGATGTGTCTTAATTTGCTGGAGTAGGTTTGACTTATATCTCAACATTTTTTAGACATTGTTGTACACCCTAAAGCATCAAGTTTAATATTCCTTCCAAACTAATTAAGACTTTGTATATTTTTATAATTGCCTACATCTTCAATTGCAGTGAAAGTCCAGGTTCAGCAAGAACTAGTCCATAATTTTATTATCCACAGTATGCTTTGTAATTAAGTTTTTGGTAGAATACAGATAAAGCTCCCAGTCTGTCATCTTCACACCGTTCTTTTAAATCGTGTCACCTTTCATTTCTGTCCTTCCTCATGTAAAAACATAACTCTTACAGTCTGCCTGGGTATATTTCAATCTGATCTGTATGAAAAAGCAAACATACAAATGCTAATGAAGTACATGAGAAGAAATGAAATTGTTCCTTGCCTTTTTTCCTTGTTTCATGCCATGTAAAGACTCAGTTGGAAAACAGTTAATTAAAAAAGTCAAGTGTTACTTTCCATTTAATGTGGCTATACTTGTACAAAATATGATAATAGAGGTAGTTAATAGGTACCTAAACAACGTTAATGTCTAACTTATTTTGGAACTATGGTCATTAGCCAAGTTACTCTTAATAGTCTTGTGACCATAAAAGCTGTTAAATACCCTGCTGCTTGGATTTTCAAAAAGCACAGCTGGAGAAAGAAATCGATTCGCAAACATTTCTGCTTGTAACTTCACTTCTGCCCACACTTCCACGCTTCTGGTGACTCCGCTTTTGCAACTGTCTTGTCATTGGGCTCGCGGCCCCATCGCGATTTGTTTGATCCCTCAGTTTAGGAGGTTTAATAAGGGAAACCGCTTCTTAAATGGTGCAGGCACTGTCACTCAGTAAGTGTTATATGCACTTGATTTGGAATTTTTTTGTCTCTTCTTAAACAGTTATGTTGAGCAGCATGGTGACTATTGCCCTTTTCAGAGCTGAGCAAAATGCATTGACCCATACCTCTATATATGAAGAATTTTGTCTGTTACCCACTCCAGAGATTTTCAGGGACTGATTTAACTAATCCTAGTCCTACATTTGAATTAATTGGGATTTGGGTCTTTTCAAAGAAATAGAGTAATGCTGCTGGCCAAGCCCTTGGAATTTAAACCCAAGTTGGATATCTGAATATATAAAAGCAAGTTTTCCCCTATGTGCAGGTTACATATTTTTAAATTGAGCCTAGAGGTGCAAGAATATATTAGTTTCACAGATAGCAGTGTAAGAATTACTTGCATTAGCAAACAAATGATTCCTAATTAAGAATATAAACTGGGAACTGCAGTAGACTGCGTTCTGCAATTGGTGAAAGACAAAGTCCAGATCTGGATTCACAAGATTCACATCTTCATTAAAACGTTGCATTTTAGAGAGCGATTTGTGGAAGCGAGTCTTGGATGCTGTGCTGACAAGTCTCTTACATAAAGTCCCATCTGTCACCAAGAGAGTACGTCTCAAATGTGGGACACGCTGCAGCCGCAAATCAACTGCCTGCTTTTAATAGTGCAGCAAGATGTTTGAAGACATTTGGTATTTTTATTACTAGCTTTTGTCACAAAATGCAGGGTTGTGTTTTTTTTTTAAAAAATAAGGCCAAATGCTGTAATGGTTTAAAAAAAGCCAAAGCTATTGAAACACTTGCTTCCTAGACATCCAACCCTTATTTCCTGAATGAATGCCCAGGCTGTAAGAGGTGAATCAGGTCTGTGGTATGGGTCTGAGGTTCCGGGACCATTTAAAAAAACCCTTTTAAGATATTTCTGCTTTCTGAAATGGAAACCCATTTAGGCCATGTATTTATTGTACTATAATAGCTCTTCTTAACCTGTTCTCCCAAGGGTAAATACAAGTGGCTACAGCAGCTGAGGCTACTTGCAGGTTTTGGATCACAGTTAAGTTTTGAGAAATGGTCTCTTGTAATGTTGGTTTCCATAATTTATGATTGAAACAGATGCAGAAACCCACTGATGCTGGCTGGGGGGAAATGATAATATTTCATTTAGTCTAGAAGTTTAAACATAATCATTTGTCACAGTGAATTTATTCCTTCCTAAGCAGCACTTGACAGTTGTGGAACACTTAAAGAAACTTTCCTAAGGACTGGCTGCAAGGATAGAGCACTTCCTGTTTCTTTTTCTCCCCAATCCTCTAAAGCTTTCTAACTTCTATAATGATGGAAATTCCTTTCCTTTCTACTGTTCTCCACTAATTGCATGGTGAGCTGTGTTTAGGGATCGGAGCCAGGTGCGGGGGAGGGCAATGAAACTGGGCTAGGATGGGGAAGAGCAGGAGCCCAGCTTTGGCACTAGCCTGTGCTTGTATCAGCGCATTTGGATCATAAAACTGAACTTTGAGAGACTGATCTCTTGGCTGGCAGGTCTTGCTCTTGAAACTCTCCAGTGCAGGGTAGCCAGCATCACTTACACCTGTGCTTTCTCGGGTAGAAACTCCCCCTCTAGCTATGTTCCAGAGAAACTAATTAGATGGTTGCCTTATTTGGAAGATCTTCCATCTGTTCAGGATTTTTTTTTTCCCCCTTCTTATTTTCTGCTGTTAAGAAAAACAGGTTGTAATCTTTTTAGCTTCATGGAATATTTATGTCAGTCAGAGGCACGAGCCTTTGGGCATAAACAAGCCTAGTAAACTGTATGGTAGGGAACGTGGTTGCTGAGATGGGTAATGGCTACAGATCTTGTTGAACAGTCGAAGTAAATGTTAAACAAATGGAACATGTTAATTTTTTAAAAAATTAATGTGTACCTTTCAGTATGGAAAGGAGGAGCAAATTGACAGTTGTGAGCTCATGTACTGGTTAGCTTTTTGATTACAAAGAGGGAAAGGAGAAAGTATCAGAATGATTTTATATTTTGCAGTTTATCAATAAATGTTAGCAGTTTGCAAGAAAGCAAGTAATTTATAGTTTACAGATACTGTATTTGAAATGATTACTGCAGCTGTATGAAACAGAAAAGAAGAAACCCTGAATGGCAAAATACACATAGGCAAGGCCTTTATGTTACTCGTTCTTTCCATTTTTCTTTCTTTTTCCTTGGAGAAGGGTGGTTGCCTGTAAGTGTCAGACTGACTGCTGACCACAGTGACAGGGCCAACACAAGTTTCCATAAAGACATTCTTTCCCAGTTGGGTATCCTGTGGCGATGCTGTGAGTCATGCCAAAACGTTCCCACACTGTCCCGTGATGTATTTGCTTCTGTGGTGTAGGTGATTTATGGGGGGTTTTTTTAGAGTATTCTTGTAAATTACGTCTTTTATTTTTATAAGTCAATGGTAGTATTTCTTTGATATGAAAACAACTGTGTCACTTACTTAAAATAAGACAATTAGTAACCCGCTTGCTCTCTTTCTAAAACCCCTGTGGTGGCTGACTCACATGTACTATCTCTGTAACCAATTTTGGTAGATGTTAAATGTGCACTCTTCCAGTGCTTCCATTTCTCCCACTGAAATGCTGGTAGTTTTGGAACTACTGCCAGGAAAAAAAAAATTTACAAAATATGCTTATATTTAAGTTCTCTGGGTAAAAAAAATTTAGTCTTTCTTTCTCAAAAACTAGATTGAGACTGATTGTTCAGTTCCATTAAAGAAAGAGCTTGAGTGCTTAAAAGTGAGAAAAAGATTTTTGATAAATAAATACAGTTGTCAGACCTCTGACCCATTGCTTTAGTCTCATAAAATAAACAAGTAGTTAACAGGGGATTTAACCGCCCATTTTGATTACATTAGTGAGTACTTAGAAAACAGATCAAATTAAACATTGTTAAAGATTTTCTGGAAAACTCTGTAGAAGTGGAATGGAGTACTGAGAATTTGTTTGTACTGCTGATTCCAGAACATTTCAATACAGAAGTAAACCAAAAAATAGCATTTTGAATATGCAGTTGTTTATGTGTATAAGTTCATTTCTGTAAAGCCACAGCCTTTTAAATCTTTCGCTTGCATTTTTGTGCAAGCTTGCCTAATCTTTGGTCTGCTGTAACTTTTAGTAATTTTTCATATTCTTGTAAGTATGAAAGCTTTTTTTTGCCCCTTGGCAGAGAATCTTTTCCATATTTGCATGATCTGATCTTATTCATAAATAGCAGTTTTTACGTTTGGAAGTTCTGTTTCTCTTCTTTACATGATTTTATTACTCAGATTTCAGAATCTATAACCATGTTATACAGACTACTTAATTTCAATATGTATGCAAGTCTGTCACTGTTTAGTTTAAAGGATTTCTCATAGTTTATTTCTCCTCACAACTAACTTTCTGGGAATTTCTCCTTCTACAAAAATGAGCTGTCTTGAATTCAACAAATAACAGTAATTTTGGTATGAATGGGATCCTCACCAAGTTGGTAACATTTTCTGTGTTGTAGCTTAACAGACCTGCTAGGTTGTTGGGGGTTTTTTTCTGTATACAGCCCAATTTTAGGCATATTAAAATTTCTATGTATGGTTTTTCCTCTGGCATCCTATTATCTGAAGGACTTTCATACTGAAAACTTTATTTTTTTTCCAGCATTTAAGGTCCACTTTTCAATTAAGAGAAATATATTCCAATAGTATTTCAAGTTACTTTTACAGTATTGCTATTCAAGTAATAAAACATTCAGTAGAATACTCAAACAACGTAACTCAACAGATACCAGAAATTAAGCTTCAGTTTTACTTGAGAGTAATGCCACCATTCATCTATTGACCATTCATCAATTTTCTTTTCATTGGCAGAATCTGAGGAAGATTCAAGAAATGGACAAAGAGGCAAGTGATGAATCCAGCACAGATCTTGATGACTTAAAAAATGCTGACTGGGTAAGATAGCAATTGAGTAGTGATTCAGCATCATTACTTGTAGTTTATATTTCTTTATAATGCTTACCTGAAGTTGTTTGGTTTATGTTAAAATCAGTGTCTGGTATTTTTTAACATAGGAATTAATAGTAACTCATGAGAAGTCAGAACCAAATGAAATCTCAACCTTCCTTTGCAAACAGACGAAACAATACAAGTATCCAAGCATTACATTTTTTCTTCAGACATTTTTCAAGGAGAAGCTTTTGCAATTTAAAAAAACTAGACATTTAGACAGGTATGGTGCTGACTGCCCTTCAGAGGGGCAGCCAGGCAGTAGGCAGAGCCATCAGCCAAGTTTCTCCAATGGTGAGAGAAAAATCTTACAGAGAAACTCTTAACAGAAGGTAGCTTGTTTTATTTTCTAGTTGCTATTCTTGTTCATAGAGGAATTTTATGGGGTTCTTAAAGGTTCTTGATTTCAATCTCGCAATATTCTGTCCACCACCTGTTCTTCCTCCTCTTCAGCCATTCCCTCTGCCCAGAAAATGAGAGGAAGGCATTAGTGTGTGGTGCTCTTACAGGCAGAGCAAAAGGAAGTTGAGTACTGAGAGGATAATGCTAGACCTTAGGATTTGGAGTCCATTCCAAAATTTCTATTTGAAGAACAACTGCTGGAAAATTTTGCAAGAAAGTTCTGGGCCTAAAGGAAACAAAGTTTTGGATTCAATCACTGTTTAAGTCACATACTATTAGCTGTAAGTCCAGAAACTTCCCTGACATGCTTGTAGTATACTTTAAATGGAAATACAGATGTATGATATGAGAATTTCAAATCCTTTTTCTGTATTATCTTAGAGGTGAACATCACTTTAGGTGACACTCTGCAGTCCTGCTGAGTTGCAACAAAGCTTTGTTACATTCATGAGGGTTAAAAATAGGGTTATATAAAATAAAATGCGTTTTGGTTGATGTGTTAAAAATAAAATAGTACAGCTGTACGTATTTGGTGGTGTTCTGAAAGGGCAATTAACAACTTTGGTTTAATCTGAGGTGGTATTCAAGGGTAAGGTATCAAATAAAATTTCTCTTTTCTCTTCAGGCTCGTTTTTGGGTACAAGTGATGCGAGATTTACGGAATGGTGTTAAACTTAAGAAAGTTCAAGAGCGTCAGTACAACCCACTCCCAATAGAATATCAGCTCACACCCTATGAAATGTTGATGGATGATATTAGATCCAAACGGTATACCTTAAGGAAGGTCATGGTAAGTCAAGAGAATCACTAGAATTTTTCAAATCTGAAATGGTCTTTTCCTCTTTTATTTTCTTCTTTTTTTTTCTCAGAACCTTGAAATTATGATTTCACATAGATAGTAATGTTCATGGTTTTTATATGGCATCTTACATTTACATAGTACATTGAGGGGAAAAACATGAAACTAACAAATGTTGTGTATTTTCTTTTCCATATGGCAGGCATTTAAAATTCTGAAAGACATACCTACATATCATATGCTTGAACAAATGACTTGTGCTGGTTTTAAGATAACCTTAAGAGTCATATCAAAACTCCTGTCCTGCTTTCCACTGAGAGATTGTTTTAGGCTTTTGTTATTGGGGAGAATATTTATTTTGAGTTACAACATAATTTTTGTAATTCCAGAATGTAAAGTGCTACCACGTTGTTATATGAGTTATACTGTGACAGGAGAGGAAGACCTGCAGTGGTTGAAAACTTATGTTACCATGACGTGTTCTGAATTTTGAAGGAATACTCTATGTAAAAGATGTTAAATCTTCAATTTGTAGAGGCTGAGCTCAATTATTTTCAGCATATACTATTGCTGCTTTCCAGTCCAGAACATATGCCAAAGGAAGCTGGAGAGTGTTGGTGGGTAGATACTCATAAAGGTGCATGTAAGACTGACTTGAGACACTCTTTTTATCAGAATCCATTTGATATTTACTGGTGTTGCCCTGTTCTTTCTTTCCTTTTGGTTTATATTGTGTTCAACATTAAGATGTTCTTCCTGATAAGCTAGCAACTGATCTAAAGGGCTCTTTATCCCTAGTAGGACATTTTAAACCCCTTTGTCAGAGGCACGTGTTTGGTCAATGTCAATATTTATACCTTGCAGTTATCTTCATCTGTTATTAGTTACAGTGGAAGCATTGTCTTAGAATATTCAGTGTTCAAATGTATTTGCTTTCCTGACAAAATATCACACAACCTTTGTTAGTGCGAAAGCTGTGATTCCACCAGAAAAATTCAGATATGGGGGTGGGGGGAAAATGAGAGAGACAGAAAGTGTGCAGTTTGTTCTATCAGAGATCATTAGAAAAAAGAATAAAGGAGGAAAAAAATGGAACAACTACATGGGGAGCAAATAAATGAATTCTGTTACAAATATAAATGCCTTTTATGTATGAGCTGAAAGTACTTTCCTAATCAAGATCTGGATTTAGACTATCAGAATGTATTTATTTTCTGTGGCAGATGTTGCTTAAATGTTAAATCAATAGGGTAAAATACATACCCAGGTAATGATGTTATCTGTCTTTCTGCTAACAATTCAGAGAACTGGGCTGTGTGTTCCTACTACCCACTGCAAAAGAGGAACAGTCCCCTCAGGACCTTGATTACTGTATGTAATCAGGATAGTAGTTTTGTTTGAGTGGGAACCCCTGGGTCGTCTAATTTTGCTTTTGTCAGACTGCCCTTCAATTCATCTTCTGCTGAGCAAGCCTCTGCCTCTTCAGAAGAGATTTTCTTCATTGTATGTTAGGTCTTGGAGGCACAGCTGCTCCTCTGCTCATCCAGACTCTCCCTGTATACAAAATCCCTGCAAGCATCTATTTTTGTCCTGCGATCTTGTCTACTGGGTAGATTGTCCAAAGTGACCTCTGGGCATAAACATGAATTAGGATTACAATCAGCTGCAGGTACAGTACCTGTAGTGCTGTCTGTGATGCAATTGCTGTCTTAGTCTGGCAACTGCTAATGACATTGTGTTAGAAGAGTAACCTCTTTCTTATTAGAAACCTTAAATTCAGTAACTTGGATTCTGCTGCAGGGTCTGCTTGAAGAATGTGGAAAGCGTGCACAGTAATAAGAGTGCAGCTTGACGTGAAATGTGTGGAGCCTGAAGGATTCACACAGAATTGCAGGTTTAGTTAGATCGCATAAATACAGCATCCTTCAGCTGACCGTCATGGGTCAAAGCTGATTGTATGTATTCCCATCAGAGAAAACTGTCACGGGTCTTGCGAAAAGGAGAAAAGGACAGGAATCCTAAATCTGAATTTTAAGGCAGCCTGGGAAGGATGGATTATATTTTCTGTCAGTCAAAATGGATGTTTGGCAAAATTTTTATTAAAAGCAATTTTGCTTTAAATTTATAGGTAGTATTTTTAGACTTGGTAGCTTGTGAAAATATATATGCTACTAATGATAACAAGAGGTTAAGTACATTTTTAAAGTAAATGAGATACAACATGAAGTCTTTAACTGTTCTTTTTATTAATATAATGCTGTGTTTAAAAGAGTAGCTTGATCTGGCTGCTCATTACTTTGACTAAAAATTAGAAAAGGAACAGATGTTCCTATCAGGTGCATTACTTAGTCTGAAACACCAAAATAGTTCCTATCAAAAGTGTTGGGTTAGCAGATGCCAATAACTGGAGCTGTCTGTTCTTTTGTCATACTGCAAATATTCAAAATGTTTTGAAGGTGTAAAATGTCAAATTCTGGGCTTTTTGTAAATAACTGGTTTCATTAGTTTCAGTGACGTTGGCATTTCTATTTCAGTACATCCAAAAATAATTTCAGATTTGTCATCTCTCGATCCTTGTTTCTATGGTTGCTGTGGGAACAAGATAACTTTCATCCTGGCATTTTGTAATCTTTGCATGTCTACATGGAGAGGTTTAATAGTGGTTTTCTCCTATGGAGCACTCACTCCCAAAAAGTTAAAAATTGTGAACGCTGGTAGAGTCAACGCTTGGAAATGGGGAAATTAAGCATTAAATTACTCTTACAGTCTTATTTTTTCTTTATTATGCATGTGTGTTAAGCTACAGCTTTTAATTCCACATCAATTCACAATTCTTTCTCTTTCCTGCCTACCTCCCCCCCCCTCCAAGATGTGCACCATGCACCATTTCTTGAGCAGTGCTTCTTGAACAGTAGCTGATAACGCTGTTGTTACTTATTCAATGCATGGCTGTCAGGCACCTTTCATGTAGTATCCAAACTCAGCATTACATTGCATAACAGTTAAATTCTTCATAGGTCATGGTCCTCTTGCCTTCATATTCGAGCTCTTCACAAATGCCTGTGATGCAGTGGTCTTAGCTTGGCTGTGTTGCAAAAAGGGAGTTTAAGCACATAGGTTGAAGCTATTATTATCAAAAATATCCAGTAATTTGAATGCCCAATCTGAGAATCCTGTGGTGTGGCTGTTTGGGTATTTTTAACAAGAAAATACTTATTTCTTTACAGTATTTAGCATCTTACAGTACTTACGTTAATTGCAATAACCGCTGTGCATGAACAGTATTTTCATAAGCAAGAATTCAGTTGTTTGAAGCTGTACATCGAGAATGTGAGGAAAAGACTGACCAGTTTGTCCAGCTGAGCACTGTAGAGTCTGTCGTTCTCTCATGCACAGGTCTGATGTAGTTTTACTGAGTGGTATTCAGCCGCTTTAAGCAGGGAACCAGCCTATTTTCATTTTCTGCCTTCGTCACGTTTCTGCAGAAGTTTAGGAGTCACCCTAGGTAGAGCAGTGAGCTTTACAGTTCCTGATCATGCTTTAGGGGAGTTCAGAGGAGGAGTGACGCTCTGTAAGTGCTATGGTTATCGTGTGGTATCATAAACTTGTCTTTAGAATAGATGTGCAGGAGCAGCGGTGTGAACATACAGTGACTTATGACATAAAGGCCAAGTGCAAGGTCCTGCACCTGGGTTGGGGTAACCCCCAGTATCAGTACAGGCTGGGGGAAGAAAGGATCGAGAGCAGCCCTGCCG